GAGAAAAACAACACATTGTAATACCAACTTATTTCTTGTTCATAACTTAAAATAACATGTTACTGTTTTTTTAATTAAAACAATTTTGCTTAAGAGACATTTGCTAAAAAATGGTTAAGTATTAAATTACAAGTCAGACTCGAAAACATCAAAAAGATAATATTACAGGCTACAGCAAAATACCAATAACGTTTAAATGTATAATGTATATATACTCTATACATAACCCTACTTAAATAAAACAAAGGCATATTAAAATCAACGAGTCTCCATCATCTGTTGCCTTCGACGAGGTCCGTTTTCTATTAATTTCTATGCTGAGATTTTCACAAGTGTGCTTATCACAAAACGATCTCATTAAGCACTCAACAGTGAGTGTTTTTCTCAGATCTTTAGGTTTTGAAGTTCAATTATAACACTCGTTTCTTATTAAACTGATGTTTACACAATAAGAAGGTATTCTCAATAAATGTTTTACTTGAATTATTATTACTTTAAGTGTTTTGCCATCGAATAGAAACAAACTGTACCTACACTTTATTTTAAACATATTAATTGTTTAAAATCATCAATCCGCCGGGCTTTCCCGCAGACTGTTGCATCGGTAAGGTTTTATTTTTTTTATTACATTAAGTTTATTGTATTTAAATAGTGTACTTCTTTATAGTGACGTCACCATGGGTGAGTACTGAATATCATGTTTTTTGTCCCTATAAACAGTTTATATATCAATCCAATAATAAAAAAAAAAAAATGTTTGATCGTAAAACGCCGACGCTTTTAGCTTAAAACAATTTCGTTTCTTATTCTACCTATTCCGTTGACGTATGCACATAAAAACACAAGCACCTCACTCCAATCACTCCAATCGTTTTCTACAGCAACATAATATATTATAACGCGGAACCGACGAATCCGGAGGACAAGCTCGTCGTGGTAAGATATTCGTGCAGTGATTGGTTGGTGCAAAAAGAGCCACTGGTCCGCATTAGATTTGTAAAAATATGAGTGCGCCCCGTCAAAGAACTCATGGCCATATATTTTCAACATTTTATTGATGGCGAATCAATATGCCAGAAAAACAAAAACTTCTTTTTACGCTTTACCGACAGCGTGATATAATATCAAATAAGTAATAAATGTCCATCAATAGAAATTGTCTTAAAAATAGTAACGTACAAATAAAGAATATGGGTATTTTGTCAAATGGTCAAGTCGTGAACGGTCGTTTATGTTTAGAAAAAGGTAATAAAGTTTTTTTTTATTATTAATTATTATCCCGTGGCAACATATAGGCCATTGGGTGCTATTAGCTATTGTAAGGAGTAACGGTAGGGTTGGTACGATTGCTGATAAGTCGTATATGGTAGTAAGTTATTACCGTACATAACAAATAACATACTGGCTTAAACTCATTATTAGAAATTGAAAATAATCCATAATCATCCCTCTTATATGTACGGAGTCTGAAGTTGCAATTAGTATATTGGCTAGAAAGTAGAAAGATTTAGTTCAAAGATTTGCGAAGGATATAACAGGATAAAACTTCTATGATTTGTGACGAAGTATTTGTAAGAAATTAATTAGGTATCTAATTAGGTAAATGCTCCGATTGAAAAAATGTATTATATTTACTCACGTACAATTTTTGTTGCATTTTTTGTGGGTAATGTCAAAAAAACATATTATAATTTACAGTATGATTATATTAATTTTTTTATTTTTTATACACGATCCACGAAAAAACAAAAAAAAAATTGATATAAGAAGATAGTTATTTGTGTATACAGTTTACGCAGAAAAAGGCTTACACGTGAATATAGTGTGCCTTGGTAAATATACAAAGTACCTAATTAGTATAAACCTGCCTAATTTTTAATCGGATGTTCGTATTAAGTTTAAGACTCATCATAGGCACTTCATTCTGTTTATAATAATTATAATTAAGCCGTATTTATTTCTATTAGACTGTTAAAGTTTGACTTTTCACAATCAATCGGGGAATGGTATGAGAGAGGTCGAATGAGGCGAAAACGAGTTTATGCTCGAGGACGTCTAGACGATTTTTACCGTTTTTAGACGGTCGTGAAGGTACGTAATTTATACGCGCATATAAGCCACTCATATGCAATGCGTAATACGCGGACTTAAAATTTGTCCCGAGATCTCTGAAGCGCGGTGGCTGTAACGGCGGTGGTCAACGAGTAATAATATATCCCGGACAAACTTAAAATGAATCGATCGAGATGCGCCAAAATAGTGGCAGCTTATATTTTCTATATATATATATATATATATATATGCATAATATACGTGTACCTAAATTGTACACGGCGAAATAGTATATGCATCATGGTCCGAAACCTTTCACAAGTATAATATCCTCACGACGAGTTTTCCAGTGGCTCAAGGGCTGAAAAGCCTCGGGCTTTCGCGAGGGAACTCCGGACGTGACACTCCGAATGTATATACTATATACGTATACATTCGTGTGTACATGTAGCTGGCTCGAAGTTTTCGTTTTTCTCAACGGTTTCTGACCCCCTGCCGGGTTTCCGACAATAAAAGAAGATTTTCCCGACGACGACACGCTGCGTCGTACGCACGCACTACTCGCTGTATGTATATATATATATATACACATATTATATGATATATATATATATATATGTATATTTGCACACTTGCTCGTCGTCTTGCCAACTCCAAACTCACCCCCCCCCCCACGCCACGACTGTTGGTCGCCGTTTCGAGAGCGCCGCCTGACATCACGCCTCCGCGTGCCACGGAAATCGCTATCGGCTAGGACTTTAGGAGGTTATTGGTTGTCGAACGGTAAACACGCCGATGCCGATCTTGAAGTTAATAATGAAATGCAGTTGTTGATATTATACAGTAGAGTGTAGCCATTGTAGGTACATATATGCTTTGTGTGTTCTGCAATATATTATTATATGCCTAAACGAATTGGTTTTCATTTTTATTTTAGAAAACGAAATCTTCAAATCATTTTTCAATTGTGTTATCCCTAAACCCTACGATAAAATATGATAAAAAAATGTATATAAATTTAGATTTAACATCGATGCACTGTAGTACAGACTAGTCGCGCTACTGAGACACTTTAAAAAATAAATTATTCGAGACATTTGGGTCCAAACATCCTACGGGTACCTACCAAGTATAATGTTTTCAGTCTTGATATCTTTCTACAAAAATGACGATAACAATATTTTAATATATTTTGGGGTTTTATACACCTAATTTACTCGGCGATATCAGCCCAGTTGTATTCTGAACAATCAGACGTAATGGAATTACTTAATTTCTTAGATGGTTTAACGTTTTTTAATTGCAGTCGTTACACGAGTATAAGGGTTCACACAGAAGTAATACTACAGAATAGCACATTATTCATAATTTAAGCAGATGATGAAATCGTTTGCACTTTAAACAATTAGATGATAAGTTAAAATAAAGTTAAAATAAAGTTATTAAGAATTATGCTTGTTTGTTCAATGTTACTTACAGTTGCCTTAACCTTACAGGATTGTATATTTCTCAGCACTATTATAATAATGTGTAATGAACAACTATAACAAAGTGACAGAATGATTTAATACATCAGTTTCCCCATATTGTTTATTTTTCTACTTGTAAAAATTTCACGTATGTAATATTTTTATCCCTTTTCTTCCGATTTTTCAGTTCACTGCGCAGTTATATATATAAAAAAAACATTAATTTTTCATTTCAAACAGACAGTTCCATTAAAAACAAGATAATGTCTTCTACTTTTAATCACGTATCATAGTAAAAGAATATCTATTTGAAGTTACAAGGTAATTAAATAGTCAAATTACATCCTCAATACATTCAGAGCATTTAGGTTAATATAATAATAATAATTAATTTATAATATAAGACCTAATTAAAATATTTTTTTTTGATAAAAAACGCAGGTAAATATAATAACAAATTTATTACTGATAATTATTTTAATAACTATTGACTTTATTAAATTAAACCAGTATAATATTAATTATTATATACCTTTGAGATTTTTTGATTCTTATCTTTTTTATACATTTTGATATTGGTGCAGTAAAACGTATTAATTCTGTACAGTTAATTATAGTTTATACACTAAAATAAGAAGTTTTGCACTACTTACCAACTATGACCGGCAAAGTTTATAATTTAAACTCTATAATAACAATATATACCTATAGGTAGTTATTAGATATTGAAAATCTATAAGATTGAATTTAATTATTAATTTATATTATACAAGAATACAACGCAAAAATAGAAAGTTTTATATTGATTTAATAATAATTTTATATTCAGAGAGGAGCGAGTGATTTTACAATGATGAGTGTTTAATAAAAAATTCAGTTAAAAAGCTTGAAAATGGAACACAAGGTTCCCCGTAAACTGTTTATACTGTAATTAAACGAAAAAGCTGAGCATAAATCTACAATATTTTTTTACGATAGCCTGAAGTTTAAATTTCGACAAAATTGGATATTCACGCGTGAAATCATGATTTCTCATCACACTATTTTAGTTTATGTAATGTTATTCTAAGAATATTCGTCACAGAAACTTGAAACCTTTCACTGTTATCTAAATTAACATTTTTTTATAAAGAACACAATTTTAATATATTTAGAATAATATTCAGATATTTAAAAAATATAGGTGCTATACGATTTTCATTATTATAGCTAAGGCTTGACAATTTAATTCAAGGTTCCTTAAAAAAGTTCTTACTGAAACCTATAACTCTAAAAAATAAGCAGAATAATCCACATATGAAATTATTTCTCAATAATATAATAAATGCAACGTTTTCGGCAAAAATTAATTCAATCTACAGTATTACAACCAACATTAAAACAAATTAATATAATAGTAGTAAATAATACATCTTAAATTGTGCAATATTATATACAACCATTTTCAAAATGAAAACATTTAAAAGCTTACGGGGGCCTAAATAATATATTTTCATTTTCCTTTACATTTTATAATGTGTTAATGCAACCATCTGAGTGAATGATACAATGATGATACAATATTAGTAGTATAGTATTAGTACCCATATAATTGAGTTTACTGTTTTTCATGTCGATAAATTCCGTATAAAGAGTTAGGTAAATCATATTTATTTTTTACTAATTTACAAATTATTTGCTTGTACATCCGTCATTTTTATTTTTAGTCGTCTTTACTTCATAAAATTAGTTTTCTTTTTTGTCTAAATTAATTTACAGCTTTAGGCCCTGAATATGGTATTTGCCCTGGGATCTGCAGTCCTAAGGACTGCCCTGACTATAGGTGCAGGCTTTACCTACTTAGTATTAATTCTAATGGTCGTGCTTATCAGTATACAAATATAATATAAAACGTACATGAACAATTTATTTGCATTTTTTATTATAATAAAATATAGTAAAATGTTGGCTAAATAGTGTGATGTTAATTTTCTCTTAATCAATATTATAATACGAAACTAACCATAAGTTAAAATTGTTTATTTCTTATTGAGTTATGATTTTTATTGTTTTAATTTTGTTTGAAAAGTAATAAATTAATATTGGTACATTACTTTTTTTTACCTTCATGAATGTTATTTATGTCTTTCCGATTTCTTTTCTAATTATTAATTCTTAAAATTTTTCAAAAAATAATTTTTACATAACCAACAAAAAAATGTTTGGCAGTTTTGAGCTGAGGACTCAATACACGAGGGCCGAGATTGACTGAATTAACCCGTTTTGACTCCCTGAACTTAATTATACGATAAAAATACAAATCTCTCGCTGCCTGCAGCCTTACTTGCCTTTTCCAGAGAATAAAATAAACTTAAATTTAACACTGGTAAAGTGGTAAGTTAAAAATCGGCGAATGCCATGATACTTTTGAAAAATTATAAATTAAAACTTATACGTTGGGCACGCACATATATTGATGTATTAAATGTATGATTCGATATTTATGTTTTCATTTTATATCAAGACGTAGACTATACGAGAGAAAATTCTGTACTTGTATAGGTATGTAAATTATTAATGTAGTCGAACAAAGTTCTCGTTTACGGCGTGGATTAAGCCTACTAGAGACACGACAATGAAAAAAAAACCCACTATGGCCCATGGGTATTACCTCATACTTTTAAACAACATGGACGATGTAATATTATGTTGTTTAACAAGTGAAAGTGGTGAGGAAACGTACACAACATTGTCATTCTACATCGAGTACTTTCGTGTACATGAAGTTGAGATATCCTACATAGGTACTACTCAGAGTAATTATTTTAACACTTAACACCCATTATGAAAATATTTAAGATCAAATAAAAAATGATTAATATCAAGAAGTGCTGATGTTTTTGAAGACATAAAAAAACAAAAGTTTTGAAAAGAACGGACTGTATTCTGTAACTTTAACGATATCGTTCATAAGCTATTTATATGTTACCGGCAAAGTGTTGAATATAGGCATTCTATAAATTTCCTAGGCGTTCTATATAATTCCTTGAACTATTTGGCAATGTATTAAATTTGAATGTTAATTTATATTATGCCTAGGAAATCTATAGATTTACCAGGATTTTTATAGAATGCCAATACTATGTTAGGTAATGTATTAAATCAAAATATGTTTATTATTATTTATTGCGGTTATTATTCATTTATTACAGCATACAGATGATGAATGGCATTTCGAACTGCATAAAATATTATTCTTTACGCATAAACATTTTTTGGATTGACACTTTGTCTTGCATGTGCATTTTATAAAATCTTGTCCAGTTCCTGTAGATTGTTGAGTTGCAATTGTGCGTAAAGCAAATGTATTTTCTCTTGGAACTTGGTCAATTGTTATTATATTTTTTTGGCATATTGAAAATTGAGACCTTGAATATAAAGATTTTAAAAGCCCTTCCTTAGTCCCTAATCTATAATACCCATCAACTGTTACCTGCAAAAATATTTTTATGATCTTAAAATAATAAAATATAAACGGTTGAATTACTATATTATAATATGTATTATTTTATGTTTACCTCTATAACAACAGCTAAAATATTTCGAACATCTCCGCGACCTTTGTCCACATCGGGAACTGGAACTCTAACTGTAGCACCTACTTCAGCCGGTTTAAGTTTTTTATCTGACCATGTTTTCATTTTAACTGCCTGATTTTCAAGATTTTCTTTAGCCTTTCTTTGATTATCCATGGCATTTGCGTTATTTGATTGAATTGTAGGAATTGTATCTTGAATTGAATTTTCTTGGATATTTTCATAATGATTGCTATTATCGGGAAGTATTGGATCATCATATTTAAGTTCATTTTTTTCAAATATTTCTAGTAATTGTTCTTCGTTTTCTAAATTGTCGACTACTTCTTTCGGTAAATTTGATGTACTAAGCCCAACCTTGACTTTACAACCAAATAATGCCTCATATGGTGACATCTTAATCCCAGAATGTAATGTCCTATTTTTCATTAATTGAATGAATCTTAATCCTTGACTCCAATGAGAATTTTTTTCTGTTTGCATCCATGTTTTCCCGTATACACGAACAACATAATAATAGTATTACTTAATAATAACGATAATGCATCGCACACGTCGTGCTATCCCTATATATGCGATAAGATAGTCGTCAAGATAAGCATTAATCATTGATTTCAAAGGTTAGGTGAAGTTTTATATTGATTGTATACTTTTCCTGCTTGAGGTTAGGTAATCTATAGAATACCTAGTTATTGTATGTATTTTATACTTTTACTGCTCATTTTTGGCATTCTATAGAATACCTAGGATTTCTATATAATACCCGATTCAACACTTTGCCGATAACATATATAATTAATTATATATTAAATGAATTTTTTTTTTTAATTCAAAAGTAAATCGTCATCACGTATATTTGTATATTAATACTAGCAATTGATAAACATAACATTATTTTAGAAATATTTTGGCCCCTTTGTGGTATTATTTAGATACATATTTCAAATTTTTAGTTTATTTCGATTAAAGTATGATATAATTGAAAATATATCGAAAATACATAGTCATAAAATCTTTTATAGTGATATATTTTTGATTTAGGTTGATAGTTGTGTATTATAATAATGTCACATACATTTTTATCTCATAAGAAATTCGTAATATATATTTGAAATAATTAACTATAGGTACCTATATTGGCATATTGCATTACTTATACATCTGAGGTAAACGTTAAAATTATATCATAGGAGTCGTGCTAATAAATGAAAAATAATATGATTCATATTACTTCATTGTATTTAATAAGTAAATGATTTAATAATCGACCACATGTTACACTAACGTGAATCTTTTTTTTTATAAAATGCGTTGAATATTCAAATCTACGATATTAACATTTTACCAAAGTAGGTATCTAATATTCTAATCTAATAAACGTATAGTCTATAGTAAAGTTATTATTATGATAGTAAGTATACTTATTTATTTACTTATTATTTTAATAACACATAAAGGTAGTATCTCTGATTCAAAATGTTATGTATTTTAGACAAAGAATTTAGTCGAGATGTTTGACGTTTAATATTATATAATTAGAAATTTTCATTAAATATTATAATTATATATTGACAATATAATATATTTGATTTCAATCAGAAAACCATTTGAGATAGCTATTATTTATTAAATTCATGTAATATAATTATTTTTCTTGTTATATCTCACTATATACAAGTTAATGAATATAAATGTCATTAAAATTGATTTATCTATAATTAAATCTGATTAACTGAATCAGTAAATATCAAATACCTATATTTATCCATTCGAACATTATATTAAGTCTATAATTAATTTACCCAGTATACTAGAGAGATACGTTCTGTGAATTGTAGATTATAATAAACAGCTTATATTAGCTTACGAGAAATGTTGGACCATCTCAAAGCTGTATGTACACAGTTATATTATTGTGTAAATACTATATATTATTATATTTAATAAATATTGCACGTACATATTTATAAGTAGGCAATATTTTTTTGTGTCTTTCAGCTCTTAATTTTTATCCTGTGTTATTTAATAATACTTCAATCATACAAAGAATTTATAATTTAATTGTACAATAATCGTCGCTTTCATAAATATACATATGGAATACAATAACAATGTGGTACACAAGATTAACGCAAGGAAAATCTTAAATCGATTATAACAAATGAAATTTTAAGTTTTGACAGAAGCATTATCTTCTTATTGTTATATTGTCTTAAATGAATTATTGGTTATAATGAAAACAACAATTGAATGCCTTCCAAAACCGATGTTGATGTAACATATTTTCTGAGATTGAATCATCGAATATTATATGGAAGTAAAAATATAAAACAAGTATAAAATATTAATATTATCTAGGTAATGCTAATAAACTATAATATATATTGCCGTATTTCGTTTCAAATGTTTTTTACTGAAAAATCAAAAAAAAATCTTTAAACAGTACACTGTGCAGAATGCACCTATACAAATCGTGCAGTTAATAATAATAAAAGTGTAGTTGGATCTCAAGAATGGATGGAGTATGTACTTCTTGTGAATAAGAGTATACGATTATTAAGAAAAACGTCACCAAGACGAAATATAAGATAAACGATTATTAGTGATGATGAAGATTATGAGAATAATGACTTAATATTGGTAACATAAAAGCTGATAATGAAAAAGCAGTCTCCTTTTGTTCTAAAAAATGTGATGACTATGTAATAAAACTTAATGGTTCAGTCTCTAAAATCAATCTTCAATAAAAAAAAAAAAACGAATAATAAACTGATAAAATGAATATTGAATTTAAGAAAGTACGAAAGGATACAGATTACAGACATTGGGAGTAAGGCACCTATCTTCACTAGACAGTGTAGTATTAATAATTATGATTAAAAATTTGCTGTCATGCATTTTAAAAGGTTTTTCTTGAAGTCAAGTTCTTCAAGTTATGATGTTGATTTTTCAGCAATTTTAAGTAACTTCTTGAACTACTAAACAGTTTAAAACAGGTTAAAAAAAAAAAAATTTTAAGTACCTGGACATGAAATATGGACATGTAGGTTCGCTTTGCTATACAATAGTTGTCGAGTATGTAATAGTAATTAATGTGTTAGTTTTGATTTTTAGGATAAATCATTAAATATGAAAAACATGGGACATTGTGTCATCCTAGCATATTTGAATAAATCATCAAATTTAATAAAACCGTTGAATATCAATTATCGTAAACAATTTAATATCAAACTCTCATAAAAAAATAATGTTATTTTCTGGTGAACTTTTTTTGGTGTTGAAGAGATAGAACAACAATTTGCTGTGCATTTTTTAAAAATATAATAACAATATTTATGAATTTCGAACTGAAAAATTATTTGCAAATTTTTGGAGAAATCGAACTTTAAATGCTATTAAAAAACCAGACTCTTGCATTAAAATTTTTTCAAGTTTTTTACTGAGTGAAACATTTTCTATCATAATTAATTTGAAAAAAATACATAATTCGAAAATTTATCATGGTTATAAATAGCTTAAAAACTCAGTTTTTCTTAATTTGTTGGTTGTTCTTCAACACTTTTTTTAAAACTATTGATAGTTCTTACATTTGATCCCTCAAAGTACCTACTAACCACATTCACCCTCCTACCAAAAAAATGATAAACATATTGCATACGAGTCTGCAACGAAATATCACATTTTATGTCCTTGCTGCTCTTGCTATCATGTGTAGCACATAACTAGATAATATTTATAGCGTAGTTGATAAAAAAATAAAGACATGACTGCTGTGGGTATACAATTTTTTTTATTTTTAGTCCGCGATTCGTTTTATTTTTTGTTTCCATGGCAATTTTTTTTAATTATTATTTTATATTATATTTATAAATTTTTTATTTTCAATCCGCGATTCGTTTTATTTTTTTGTTTCCATGGCAATTTTTTTATTATTATTTTATATTATATGTATACATTTTTTATTTTCAGTCTACGATTCGTTTTATTTTTTGTTTCCATGGCAATTTTTTAGTAGCAGTTTCGTAACGCTTTATGTAACGTAACGTTTTTCGATTCTATGTGCCAAAGCAAAAACATAACGAATCCCAGTTTCCTACACGACCCACTTTGTTTGAATGTAGTAGGGAACGCTTTTCGTGGGCACTTTTTCGTGACGGTTTTTTATTTTAATGTGCCAAAGTAAAGACATAAAATGTCAAAAGATTCAAAATAATTTGAAAATGTCAAGCGCCCATATGGTTATTAGTTTCTGAGTTACTCCAAAAACATAAAATCGAGTTTGTATAAAAAGCCAGTTTTTCTTTCATTTTTTTTTTGTTTTCCTTTTTATTTTATTTTGACTTCTTGAATGCATCAATTAGATTCATTTTTCTATTAGAAAAGATGATGAAGTCGACAATTGAGGATTTTAAGTACCCCAAATGTTGATGATAGACAGAAAAAACACATTCATTGTAAAAACAATAGATTTTTCGATACACTCAGAATCTAAAACGACTAAAACTCAAAGAACTAGTAACAATTACAGACACAAACTGCCAATTCAAAATCGAGACATCATCACTATTTCTAGCAACTCCATTTTGACAATAGTGTTCTAAAGTTGACATCCAACTGTCTCATCTCAACAAAAAATTCACCCTCCATTGAAAAATTGACATTAAAATATTCAAAAAAAGTATCCACTAAATAATAAATAATAAAAAATTTAAAAAAGGAACGATTATTATTTGAAAAAATAGTCTGAGTAGATTTAAAAATTCTAAAAATCAGAATTTGATCAAAATCATTATTTGAGAAAAAATGGAGGTGAGCATGCTTTATGAACCATCTTGTATAAAGTTTTCCCGACACATGGAGTATAATGATAGAATAATGAACAAAAATGTAATATTATAGTTAAATTTTAAATACTATTTTGTTACAGCATGTGCCATGTATAGTGTCGTATTAAATTTCAACAGACAACAGTCAACAACATTAACTTAGTCTTTACAATATTAAATGATAATGATAACGCATAGTTTATCAATTATCAGTAAAATATCGTCTTGTTATTATAAAATATTTCACATACCTAATCGTTTGTTTATAAACAGAATGTATAGGTATTACAATTATCTAGAAATAATATTATTAATTAACTAATCCTACAAATATTTGCTAAATAACTACACCATATTCATAAATATAGCTTATACAAGGTTTACAATAATCATAGATTAATACAGCCATAATTTGTTCAAGGTATGATTACCGTTACTTAATGGGTTTATTTAGATCCTTATAATGCAGATTGAAAATTGACAACGTTTTTGATAAAGGGGTAAATGTTTTTTAATATTATAGTTCAATAAAAAAGTAGTGATAACAGTAGAAACTTGATTAATTTTACATGATAAAAAAAAACATAACATTTTACTTTAAACAATTATAACACGAATATATTTTATATCAAACGATTTTTGGATTTTATCATAATGAGACTATAGTATACTTATACCTTATACTAACAGGCAAGCAATGCTTGAATGGAAAGCGTAACAACATAGAAGGTGATTTTTGATCACTTGATTACTCATACGTATGGTACTGTGAGGTAGCAGGGTAAGAAATATATATACATAGATTTTTGTATTTTGTTGTCAAGACAGGCTACATCACTGCGAGACGTTTATATGTCACTCGTAATGCTGTTGTTATATACAGTGCTGGTCTAGTAGTATAAGGTCTATGGAGCTACCAGTAAATTACACATTGTTAAAATATTAATTGTAAAATACCATAAAATATCAAGAATTGTAAAAATTAAAATATCGTAATACTATATGAATTGATTTATTACTTGTGTATATA